GATTGGAGTGGTGCATCTGTGGGCTCAGTTAATTGGAAAAAGGTATGGTATGCCATCGCCTTCTGTGGTGGCATCTAATTTAGGACGTTCTTCCTGTGCGATCAGTTGTTAGTAGGATTATTTATATTGACCCTTCTTGCCCTCTTTGTAGTGCAGAGACTGAGACGGCCACTCATCTCTTCATGTACTGCCAATTTTTCAAGAGTTTTTGGTTTTCTTCTGGTTGGGGGATCCGGATAAACTTCATCCACGCTGAGTCTATGGTTGCTTTCTTTTACATCAGTGTGGATCTAGATTGAGAAGGTGTTAATAAGGATGAATTCCTTCTCTTTGCTTGTATCTTATTTGACCAAATTTGGTTGACTCGCAACAAGGTCCTCCACGAAGGTTGCTTTGCTAACCCTGCCAGTGTGGCTGTCAATGTTGCTGCATCGTTCCTTAACGCCAAAGCGGCCTTTTTGGCCACCCAGGTGGCTATTGCTGAGTCTACTTGCTGGTTGCCTCCACCGGAAGGGTGGGTGAAGCTGAATTTTGATGTTGCGCTTGATCCTGATTATGCGGTCACATCGGTTGTTGCCCAGAATTGTAACTCACCGACTCTTTGGTGCTTCTCAGCTAGATTCAACCCAACTAATGCGGAGACTCTCAAATTCTTAGCTCTCCAGGAAGCTCTAGTCCAACCAAAGGTCTGTCAGTTGTCCTTTATTGTCATTGAAACAGATTGTAAGGCAGTGGCTAATGCTCTCTCGGGGCCGGTCCTGAACTGGCGTGGAAGATTGATTGTGGAGGACATCCGTAGGAAGGACCTCATCCCGCAAGACCTCGTTATTCGCTAGACTCCTAGATCTTGTAATTTTGTTACGCATAATCTAGCAAAATGGTGTCTTATCTTCATTTGTTTTTAGGACTGTAGAGGTTTCTTGTTACTGTCCTTTATTGTCATTGAAAAGGATTGTAAGGCAGTGGCTAATGCTCTCTCGGGGCCAGTCCTGAACTGGCGTGGAAGATTGATTGTGGAAGACATCCGTAGGAAGGACCTATTCGCTAGACTCCTTGATCTTGTAATTTTGTTGCGCATAATCTAACAAAATGGTGTCTAGCTTCATTTGTTTTTGGGATTGTAGAGGTTTCTTGTTTGCCTTCTTTTGTTTTATCGGATGTTGTAGAGTGGGTTAGGTGGTAGTTATGTTCTCCTTTCCCATCTCTTGTTTGTTTGTCCGTTGTCTTTGTTTTTGCCTTTTGGCTTTAATGAAATCTTCTTATCAATAAAATAAAAAAAAAAAAAAAAATGTACGAGTATGAGTACAAAAGAATTACACAGAAAGACAGAGCAGATATCAGAGAAACTTAGCACATCTCAATTAAATTGTCACCCATCAATTAAGAAGCCCTCTTATATCAAACCACGACACTCTAATCTATTAATAAAAGAAATATAGAAAATAAAGAATATACACACAAATCCAACCACCAAATTAAAGCGCCTAACAAAACAAGAAAATAAGAAAGATAATAATAAACAACCATACACAAAAAGGAAGCGGAAAAAGAAAAAGCAAGGAGAAAAGATCATATCTACTAAATCTAATTACTCAAATAATAATATCTATATGTGAATGTTTGTAATAGACATAAGCAGATCATATGAATGAGGCTTACCTGTCCATAATTTAAGACTCCAGCAGAAGGGCTAAGCTCTATGTTTCCAAAGGGAATAAGGCTTCCATTGAAAAACTTGCCATCTTTGGAGCATTTCATTATGTACATGAAATCAGTTGGGATATGACTGATGTTTGCATATTCTTCACCATCCTTAGTGCTGTATTTTTCTCATAGCAAAATATATATGCAAAATATATTGCCTATTTGTTAGCTTTTTATAATTATTTGAATATATCTTACATAAATAACGCTAGTATGTAATGAAACTTGCAACATTGATGTTTAAGAATATAACATGTGCTAGTTCAATTAATTAGAGGCCTCCATGCAAAAAGTTCCCATCTTTGTACAAAATTTATTTTAAAAAATAAGAAAAACTTTATTAAAAAGAAAAGGAAAAAAAAATTACAAATCAAAGTCTTAAAAGTCCAAAAAAGAAAAAGAGGGCAAAAAACAAAAAATGAAAAGCGATCTAGGAAAGAAATGACCTAATAACAAGAGAAAAATCCCTCCATAAGTAAGAAGTATTTCCCATCTTACAGTTTGATATATTAAACAACAATACCGTCGATAGATAAATATTAGAGTAACTATTAAAACTACACCTATATGTTACACACACAAACATATATATATATATATATATATATATATATATCATCCTTTTTTTAAATGAACAGCTCAACTTTTTTGTCTATTTAAGTAGGCAATCTTTACGGTGGAGCAAACTATTTTGTTCCATTAGTGGGGCGAGTATTTTCAACCGTTGGATTAGTTTTTTAACTATTAGATCTATGGAGATTCACATTAAAAATTTACAATGCGCCGTAGATCTGACTATTGAAAAATTAATCCAATAATAAAAACACTTACCTTATCAGTAGCACCGTATAGCTTATTCCACCGTAAAGAGTCCCATTTAAGTGACATAATGATATATATATTGATAGTATCCTACGTAATCATGAGTATATTATTATATGTACTTGAGATATGAAATTACTTGTAGGAAGTAATACGTTCGGAACTTGCTTGCAACTTCGAAGGAGCCATGATCCAAAATCTTATCTCAGTTTATCTGGTATAAGGGCTTGAGGGACTAAACTAGGAAACTTTGATACAGCTGCTCATGCATGGCTTTTGGCTATAAACATTTGGTCATATATATACACAAAAAGTTAAGAATATTGGCACAAAATGAATGTAACAGTAATTTGGACTTGAGATATGCAGGCGCACATAGATCTTGACAAAAATGAATAATGATACTTGTGATTCGCATTTAAAGATAATTTAACGAAATTGGATATGTATAGTGTACATATATGCTTATATATAATATATAATATGGTGGCAAACTTATAATAAGCAAATTATAACATGTGTTTTATTCAGGTATAAAATAATATACGTCTCTTAGGAGGAAATGATCGACGACGGTGGTGATTAGCGGGAGTTGTAAGAGAGAGGCGTATTAATGAAGGGAAAGGAAATAAAAGATGGGGGATATGATTCCTCTTCTGGATGCCAAACATTATGATAAGAGAGAAGGGGGCAAATTGCACATTGGGGAATGAAAAATAATAGCATTTTTTTTTTTTTTTGAGGTGGAAAGAAATAGTATAATTTTACCTTAATAATTCAAAATACTCATTTTACCCCGCAACGCCCCACTCCTCCGTACTGCCACTGACGGTGTATATGCGATTGCCGCCGGGAGTAACCGAGTAAGAAAACCTCCACAATGCCAAGTGAAATCGAGCGAGCAACCAAGTTAAGTATTGCAGCGACGTCGTGAGGAGAAATCGTGATGACTAGGGAGATCGCGTGAGCAACCAAGTGAGGTATTTAGCGACGTTTATAAAATACACAATTTTGACCATCCGTTAATAAAAACATCTTTTTTATACGAAATTTAACGATTGGGAGGGGGGCTAGGTCATCGTTTGATTTGTGTCATTTCTTAGGGCTTTACAATCGATATATTCACGTTTGTCAATGTTGGATTCCGTTTTAAAGTAGACAGTTTATTATTATGTGGGGTCAAAACTACCTCATATTTCTAAAACATCACCGATATAGTTTAACTTTTAAAAGTGAATGTCCATAGGTAAAATAAGTAAAATATTTTCTAAGTTACCATGATAAATAAAAATAACCCTCAACGATCAATTAGTTAGCACTGCTACATCTGCTATTGTGCAAATAATTTTACGGTGAGCTCAAAATATCTTGAGACTTGATTTTATAGCACGTTATGAGCAATAACGGTTGCAATTTAGTCAAGAAGACTAATTGGTTATTAGTTTTTTTTTCCTTCTTCCGAAGTATCACTCATATTGGCATATTAGCATATATTTTTTCTGAGATATTTCAGAAAATTACTTAATAATTAGGATAATTGTTTTCACGTTTTATGCTACTAAAATATATAATACATTCATAGTAATTTTAATTTTTTATTTGTAAAATATTATAAATTGTTTATGTTATATTTTAACATGTCTAGTACGATTATGTTATAAGTTAACGTCTAAAAATCTTAAATAATTACTTGTTCGATCATTCTTTTAGATACGAGAAGCTTTGAATGGATCATTGACAACTTCATTGGAGAAAATGATAGTAGATTGCAATATGTTACGTTCTTCGAGTACAATCCTCATAAATACGTACATTTGATATCATTTAGGGACTAAGGTGTCAAAAAAATCATTGACTACTCAGCCAAAAAAAAAAAAGAGAGATTGAAAGAAAGAAACCATAGTTAAACTCCAAGGTTCCTGAATTATTAGACTTTCAAATTTAGAAATCAAACCTGTTCGAAAGTGAGAGATAAGAATTCAAATAAAAAAAAAAATGATATTCATCCTAACTCGGGAAAGTCAAGAGCCCTATTGTCCATTCCCGGCTTGACTTGGGGATTATAAGCCCGTTTGTTTCATAGGTTTTAACAAAAAAATTTGAAGAGAAACTTAAATTTTGTAAAAAATACTGTAATTCAAACTTATGAAACAAACAGGAGCTATAATTACTTGTTAAGAAGATATTTGACTTGTGTCACTTTTAACATAAAGGAAAATGGAGGGGCACTTCTGGGTGAGATTAGAACAACTTGCTGTGGGGTTTGGAAAATATGCTCCTTTAACCAAAAGCAATTTTGATAAAGGAAGAAAATTTTGTGTTAGGGTATAGAAAAGACTAGAACACAATTTTTAAAGATCAAATCAGATCAGATTATAACCATAATTGTTTTACATAAAGTATGATAATTTAAATGATCAAAAATCTAAGGTTTGAAACCGTATCCTACAAGACTTTATATTAAAGAATTCTCTAAAAAAATATTAAAAGGTGTAGTATTTTACATTGTTTGTAACTTTGTTGGTGCCCTTTAAATGGCCTATGAAACCCAGGGAGTAAACAAAACGTTGAACATACTGAGAGGACCTTTAACAGTAGAGAAACTCGTGTGCTCACACCGTGTAAACTTCGGAAAGCCCCATCAATATCATGATGATTGATGTTTTAAAATCAAATAAATTACACAATTATTTTAATGGGGAGAGGACCTTTAAGCATGTTACATTTCACCCTCTTCTCTCATTTCGTCTAAAAAAAAGAAAAAAAGAAAACATAGATCTTTAATACAACATATTATTCTTGCCTTACAAACGGTGAGGAGCTCATGTCTGTACTGTAAAAGGAATCCTCTGCTCCACCATAGTAGTTATCCTCCTTCTCCTCATCCCACTTGAGGACTTCCCTTATATACTTAAACGCCTCGTCGATGGTTACTCGTTCCCTAGCCCGAGCTTGCCATACGAAAAGCTTGCGCTCCGTGAGGGAAGCATAAAGGTCTTTAAACTTCATCGCAACATAGAAGTAAGCCTGATGGGCAAGCGTCTGGCTGTTGTGGTGCGGCCGCACAGGACTAAAATCGTTGAACCATTCACAAGAACTTAAAGGCACCCGGTTGAGCTTTTCTTCAAGCAGATCGTATTTGTTAAGTATCAACACAAATGGGGTATCTTTGAAGCATGGGTGCCTGACCATGGTTTCGAAGAGCTCCTTACTTTGCATCATCTTGTTTTGTAGTAGTGTTCCACTGCCATTACTCTCTGGTGCGAGCGAAAACTGATCGTAGTCACTAAGAGCAACACAAAAGACAACCGCGCGTACATCTTCAAACATTTCCACCCATTTACACCCTTCGTTCAGCCCCCTCGCATTTACCCTTATAAGTTGGTATCTGCACAAAATAAATATTAAAGTTACAAATGATATGTTATGGATGCTAAAAAGGGCAAAAGATTCTAGAGAATTATCTTTTTTTCATATATAAAATCAGACAATAACTGAAACTCAAATCACAAACAAATGGAATATCTAAATTCTGATATCATGACTTCAACGTGGCAAGCCGTTAGATCTCCTTTATTCCCTGAATCTCACTAGCAAGATACTATAAATACAACTTTTATAAAGAGATTTTCTTTTGGACATATATTCCGTGCACATGGAATTGAAATCAGTCATAGAGTAGGTTTCTACAGTACGTGTGGTGTTCAAATCAGCATTTGGACAATAAAATCAAAAACAGTTATTAAGAAAGATAATCATGAACGTGAAAAATTAAGCCTCAGTACTTGGTTAGAGGAGGAGGAGGAACTTCCAGATTGTCTGTGTAGGTTTCGGACATGGGACTTCGATCATCAAGGGAGAATTCAATAAAAGCTAAACCATTTCCTTGAGTGACCCCTTCTGCATACAGTATGTCTCTCTCCAAAGGTTCATATTCATTGCTTGAGATCTCAACAGCCTGAACACAATTAGAGAGGGGACCAAAAAAAAAAAAAACAACTGTTAATCATCCAGCAATCCTGATCTGGAAGATTGCCCAGAAAAGGTTTAAAGGGCATGAAAGCTCCTAATACATAAACACGTACATATTCACAACTATACCAGCATATACATACATAAAGCTAATTATTGGACATACGCATGCGTATGCGCGTGTGCGTTCGTGTTTGTGTGTGTTCCACATTTATCAAAGCGGACCAGATTACAGAAAATCCTGGGAATTATGGTTGCTAATCACATAGAGCCCAGTTGTATAGAAGCGTGTATTATTCTGTCAATTTCAATGAATTATGTTTGACAAGATCAAAATACAAGGACAGGCGTGTCATCTCCTACCAGATATAGCTCGTTATACTTGGACCATCCCTTCAGCATGCAAAAAACAGACAATTATGGTTTTCTAATGGAAATATGGGCTGCGGTTTTCTAATGGAAATAGGGGCCGCATACTATAGAGAAGAAAAACTTTCTATAGCAGCTCTATAGATATATTGAAAGAGTAAATGCTTAATACAAAGGAATTAAACAGGTGCAATGGCACTAACAATGCTAAAGGTTAAACTAAAATGCGGAAAGTTAAGATTGCAAAGAGTTGTGTGAGTCTTTTTTTTGGTCCGGTTTTAGTATTAGAAGGAAAATTTTCTCGAAGTCACAAGTCCTAGGTTGTTTATGGAATGGATAAAATTTTGGATAGGCCTTGGGGTTCATAAAGAGAAGGAATTTAGTACCTGTTTACTCTGTGATATAGTCAGAAACTGGTCATATATTTTTGTAATTATTTTTGTGTCTTGTCTTAAGAGGATAACTCTTCCTCTTTTGTTTGTACATATTTTCTTTTTCCCTTAATACAGTTTCTTGTTTCCTTTAAAATTTAAAAAAAAAAAAAAAAAAAATTAAGATGTTGTGGCTAAAAAGAATGGTGATGAAATACCCTGCTCAAGAAGTATTCGGCAACATCAGGGAGGAAGTGAAGCTCATCGTGTCTTTTATACGTTTCCTGGATAGCAGGATCCTTCCACACCTCTTCAACTAATGGAGCATACTCACGTGTTGCTGCAGGGAAAAATGCATCCAAATCCCCAGTGGCTATAATGTCCAGCAACCAATCAGAGAAATGCTTCAACCTCGGGTTGATGGAGTAGATGCATTCGGTGGTTCCATTGCTCTCAGCCTCTCCACCTGAAAGAACAAAACAATTAGAATATTAGATGATACATACTGCATGTGCTGTAGAAGCAGTGGAACCTTCTCTCTTGTGCGATGCTTTGATCAATATTATTCAGAAAAAGCTTCTACAGGATTCAAAAAATAGAAATAAAGAAGCCAACGACAAAAACTTTTAGTGTTTTTATACAAAGAAAAGGTCAACATAATTTCTGTCAAGTGAGATCACAGAACTTCTTGTCAAAGCTTTCCTGTCAACTGAATCAATTAGCTACAAGGGAAATTTTCCTTGACTGAACTCCACAATCTACAGACAAACGAGACACCTAATCTGCTTTGTAGAGAAAAATCTATTTTCCTGTTGAAATTAAATACTTGGAATAATCATGTGTTTAAATAAACATGCACAATGAGAGGCACTGGACTTGTCTCAATGCACGGTATATGCACATGCTTGTGTTTAGCTGCTCATCATAAATACGTACATACAAAAAACATACCCATATAGATATGTGCTTGTCGGTTTGTATTTACATATCCACATACACGTATATTCATTGCAAATACCTAGTTCAGCAATTTGGTCATGGGATTCAAGTTCTTTCATCCTAGAAAGAGCTTCCTCCTCAAAGCGTTCCCTTCCATCAAGCAAAATGCTCAGATATTTGTACATGTTGCTTTGAATCATTAGCTTGATATCTTGCAGTTCTTCTGGAGTGAACTTGTTACCATACAAAAATTTAGCCTGCCAATACAATAATAGGAAAATAATGAGCATTACTAGAAAATACATCAAAGAGAAAACCTTTAGTCTTGGACCATTTTACAAGCAGATCTGACCACAACCATCAATTGGCATATTATTTTCCCAGGTCTTCCTTATTTCTTAGTCACATTAAACTTATGGTGAGTGGTGACTGGTAGTTCTGTAAGTTCTGTTTAGGAAGATGTTTCAAGAGAAAATTCATCTTTCAACGATTCCTTTCCTTTTTTATGTCACCAGTCTAGAGCTCATAATGTGTCTATCTCTTCCTTTCCTGTTGATTCTAGTCCTAATCAGTATGTTACTTGGAATTTTCTCTCCTTTTTTATTTTTTTTTTCAAAAAACTGATTGACGTGAAATGAGGAGAAATATACTTCTTGGTTCTCACAGTTACAAGGGTTTAAGAATTCGGATGGGATGGCATTTTCCAACGGAAGCTCTTGGTTTTTGGATTCTTTAGGCATCTTTAATTTATAGTAAATCCAATTTTCAAATTTCACTATATGCTTAAGGCCCTTCTTGTCCTCTTCTTAAACCCTCTTAGTTAAGCTCATGTCCCACAACCGAAGTTCAAATTTTTGGATGGCAATTATCATGGTAAGATCAACAATTATAGTGCAAGGAAAAAGGAAAAGCCGTTCTAACAGCGCCAAAAACCCCACAAATAAGGAATATTCCATTGTCTTTAGTCTTTGATTCTTTATCAAAGTGGTGATCCATTAACATTTTGTTCCAGTTTTGCTCTTGTTTTTTGTCTCTAATAGCCAAGGACAGCTTGTCTTCCTATTCTACCATTAATCTCATTTCTTTTCTCAATAAAATTCAGTTCTTTCCACACAAAAAAAAAAATTAAAAATACACAGTATTATAAGTTGCACCTGCTTGAAGATAGTGCTGGTTCCAGAGCCTTGAAGTCCAAGAAGAAGAAGCTTTTGAACCTTCTTCTGCTCCAGATAGTTCGGAACAGTAGTATAATTGCTAGCCTCATCTCTTGATACATGTGGTTGACCATGAAGCACAGGCAAAGAGAACAGGCTACAAACAAACCTTGTAGTTGCCTGTCTAACAAAAAGCAGTGAGGGAAAAAAAATGATGAAGATATCAAGTATCAACAATCCAATCTTGAACCATATTTTACAATGGTGAACGTCAACTATATACCTTCTCCCAGATATTTCCCCTGATATTATTCTGGCCTTCTTCCTCGTAACGACCATCATCATAGACCCAAAAATGAGTGTCACGCGGGCATTGCACATTTGCCAGCTGACATAATAAACAACTTATAAGTCAAACTTAAAATGTCCCTTGAATAACAAACAACTAAAGACAATAATCCCTCTTTTTTTTTTGGATTAAAACAACAAAATTTCATTTAAATGGAAACAGAAATCTAGTATTGACATTTGGCATAAATCTATAATCTTATGACATGATTATTACTACTTGTCCTGTTTCACTAAAGCTTATTCTAATAATCTCCTAATCGAAAATTGACATTTGGCAATAGGCAGCAGTAGCAGATGCATCAACCAGCTGAAACTTCACAAAGGGCAAATCATAGTCAAGTTCCTTCCACGGTTGTTCCCATTATTCTTCCATTCCCTGAATTCCTTGGACATATTATTAGAACTTTTTCATAGAGTTAAACAGTAAACTGAGTTACCTATCCAGGAGTTGACACAACGAAGAGACATACTGCTACAAAAATTCCAAGATAACTCATTAACTCAAATACATGGGAATGTCCTCTATCACCTAACCAACTTCAATTTAATTTGTAAAACAAAGTCTAAAAATGTTGCATCTTCTAACAAAAAGAAAAATTAAAAATTAAAAAAAAAATTATTTGAGATCATTCCAATTACCATGTATATGTCTTACCCTTAGGATCCTCAATTCAAGTCTAGTAATTTCTCGGCCATTGATATAAACTTCGGTATTCCCATTGCTCGCATCATGGCTGAGTTTTCCAGTGAAATTTAAGTTTGAACTTATGATTCTATCTGGTTTTTCTCCCTCCTGTCAGATCATCAAGTAAAGACGCTAAAAATGAGACTTTTAGAGAGAAAAAGTTATCCAAAGTTCAATCTCGGAAGATCGTTTATTTAAAAAAAAAAAAAAAAAAAAAGAAAAGGTTTGAAGATACATTGTTAAAAATGCACTCACCTTTCCCCAAAGACCAGACTCTTTATCATACCAATATCTACCAGGCTTCAACTTACGAGGAGGTAAAGGACATCCAAGCAATTCTGCCATCTCTTCCGGCTTCAGAGGGAATCCATTAACAATCAGCTGCTCTGGCCGAAGCTGATTTGCTGAACATTCTTTTTCTGCTTTCATAATTTGTTTAACTTCCAAAGGACTGAGCAATCTGGACAACACCCTCGAATGTTTACCCAATTTCAATCGTTTTGATTCATCAATTTGCTGGCCAATGCAAGTCACGCACTTTCGTCCCTCGGGCATCGACCCCATCGCCCTTAGCACACAATTGCTGCAATACTTAGCATCACAAACCAGACAAGACTCTTTAGTTTCCCACTTTCCTTTACCGCACCGGTAACATACTCTGCTTTTTTTCTTCTTCTTCTTCTCTTTTGTAACACCAACATACTCTGGATAAACCGGCTTCTCCACATCAGCCTCTTTCCTCTCAGATATATCCACAGTATTGAAAGTAACAACCGGGCCTCTTCTTCCCTCATTAGGCGCTTGTCTTGGAGGAGGATTATGGACTGAACCCGGAGAAGCTGATGGCGAAGCCGACGAAAGATCAGGGTTTTGCAAGACAGACACCACAGACTCTGAACTTCCCGACACCCTAGCACTCTGTGCCGGAGAACTCGTTACACCAGCAATACAAGATACCGGAAGGGGAATCGGCTCAATCACAGGCGGACCCAGATTAGCAGCGGACCTTCTGGATTCAGATAGCCGCTCTGCAGTTGGGATTGCGCGGGAATTAATATCAACAGGTTCGACCTTAGGAACTTCATAGGCGACGGGCGGACCCTCGTATTCCATGGCAATGGAATAATCAAGATGGGCAGAATCCTCTGGGATAGGAGCACCCGGTGGGAGCATCTTCCTCACCAATTCCCTCCAGTTCTCTTCCTCCTTTTGCTCCATTTTCTTCCAAGATAGTAAATCAAATTTATATTCTCAAACCACAGAAACAGACTAAAACTTCTACTTCTCCAAAATCATGTACAACTATAAAATCCTAAGGGATCATCTCCAACAGATGAAAACATAACCTTTTGAATCGCCCAAATATGTTGAAAAACCAAAGCTTATACTGCTTTTAGAACCAATAATAGTCATCACCAACAACAAGAAAGCAGCCTCAGTAGAATGGTCATCCTTTGAAACTATAATTATTAAAAAAAGAAAAAATGAAAGGATAGCATCAGAGAAACTAAATTAAAGATTTGAACCAAATGCAAAGAAAATGAAACTAAAATTCAAACCTTTTAAACGTCCACGCGCATAAATTTAAAGCAAAACCCAACCAAGAAAAGTAAATAAAAGGATTGGATGATTAATCTGGAGTCAAAAAATAAGACGCCCACCTCTGAAATCACACACAAACTTTTCTAAAGCTCAAAAAAAAAAAAAAAGGGAAAAAACTGTTAAGCAACCATAAAGAGCATTTTTTTAGTGGTCCAAAGTGTTGAAAAAATTTAAGTCAAACAATAATTGAACCCAAAAAAAAAAAAAAAACAAGTAACATATACTCATACAGCAAAGCTGATTCAAAGGTAAAAATAAAAATGAAAATAAAATAAAATGATTCACCCCAAAAAAATCCCTTTTGGTTATATTCGTTGGGAAGAAGAAAAGAAAAAAATGAAAAGCTATACACATATATATATATATATAGAGAGAGAGAGAGAGAGATACCTGGAAAGCGACGGAATGAAAGGGGATCTGAGCTAAAACCCACGAAGCATTTGAACTTTTGAGCTTTAGCAAAAGGTAAAGCTTTTCTTTTGTTCTGCAAATCCACCGGGAAACGATGAGAGAAAGGGAGAGAGAGAGATAGTTCAGTTAGAGAGAGAAAGAGACGAAAATGGTGAAAACCACGCAGCAGTGACCGTGAAACTGAAGAAAGGGAGGAGAGAGAAAGCCGCAGTGGAGGAGAGAATGAGAGCGATGGATGGATTGGAAGCATAAAGGTTAGAGAGAGAAAGAGTTTAGGGCGAGAGAGAGATCGAGGGGTCCCACAATGGTATTTTCCTCTGGCATTTAGCTCTCTCTCTTGCTATGACAAACGAGCCTTTATGAATTTCCCACACGCCGGGTCGGCGCGTCGTGTGGGAATCACCATCACGACCATGATATTTACAATTCACGCGCATTAACTGTAAACGGGTACAATTTTTTTTTTTTTTGCTAGTCAAACGGGTACAATTGTTCATTTACACGTCAACACCTTGAAAACTATAAGATAAAAATTGAAAATAAAAATACCTTAGTCTCTTTTTTAATGTAGAAGAAATGTTTTAATGTAGGAGTAATGTTGACTGCTTTTTTTTTCCCCTAAATGTGTGACAAAAAGGCCTGTAAATTTTCTTTTCAATAAACAAAGGCTTAATTATAGGAACTTGTCCCTTCCAAGGCACAAAAGTTACTTTACTTTTTTATTATAAGCAAAAATTACTTTGAAGTGAGTTTTAGTTTTTTTCATGTTTATAAAGTGAGACTTTGCGATGGAAAGGAAAGTGCAGATGCCGGCCGGGAGAATTACAATTCAAAATTTTGCTATAATATTTTTAATTTTTTTCTCATAAAAATTTAAATTCAATTATTTGTACTACATTATTTTCTTTATATAAATTCACTCTTCATTTCAAGTTCTCGATTTGAATGAGCAAGCGAATGAAACTTAAATATCTATTCTATTTGGTCAAAGTATCATGTTTTACTTTTCTAATTATAGGTTGTATCTTTTTTTAAAAAACATGATATTAAAATAGCCCTTGAATAAATGTTTTAAAAATGATTCTAAACCATAAATATTTTAACCATGATGCAATAAATACAACTCAAAACCCGTAGTAAACATGTACTATAAAGTCTTGTTTAGTTTATAGGTTCAAACTTATGGTTTTTATCGCTACATGAGTTTCTTCCTCACGTGAGGCACACATGAGTTCTTATCGCCAATTTAACAACAACGGGTAAAATAAGTCACGTGGCAATAGTTTAGCAAGTTAGGGCAACAAATTCTTAAAATTCAAAAGGCAAGTTACTAAGATCACATTCATTTCACCGATTTGAGTTTAGAATTCGAGATTTGCTACAGTAAAAAGCTCTCATAAACAGTCACATCTAATTTCTTTTACATCTCAACTCGAATTAAAAACTCAAATTAGTGAACTAAACGGGCCCTAAAGTGTAAAAAATTAAGGAGAAAATGCGCAAATAACACATGCAATGGCATAACTGTATAAGAACGGGAGAGGGGAAGCCGGGAAGGGGGGCAGCCGCCTCCACTAACTTTTTCAAAATTAAAAGTTGACCCTTTAAAAAATATTTTTCATACATGTCCCCGCTAAATTTTATTTTTTAAAAATTTTGCTCAAGAGTTATTGTTGTGTATATTATAATTTACATATGCGAGATTTTTAAGGTATTTTTTCATCTTTTATACTATGCATTTTGAGGTTAAAACGCATATACTTTAATTTTGAATTGTATTACATTTTTTTTTAAAACGGAATTGTATTACATTTATAAATTTCAAATTCATGTTAAATGCTTACCTATTTTCAGTTAAAAATTGATTTTTATTAAGAAATACCCTACTTATCCTCATATTTTTCAGTTTTTCCCTTTCTTTTTTTAAAACATTTTATTGATGGCATTTGGGTCTTTAAGTGGTCAAAATTGTCTGTTGATCGATGAAGGGTAAAAAATTAGTTAATTTAGAAATCAAAAAGTATAAATATGATCAACTCCAAAATATAATATTATATGATATTTGTTATTCTTTTAAGTATGAAAATGACGAAAATAACCCTTTTATAGTAGGATGTCCTTATCAATCTAATAAAAATCACATTAGAATAAAAATAAACAAAATAAACAGTGTTTTTATATATAAATTTGATGTTTCAAGACAAAGCCCTGTGACATTTTTTTATATTGTAAAATTATTTATATGTATTTGGTAGTTCTTAAAAACTACAATACAAGTTTTTGTATATTTTTTCATGTTATCTATTTTTTTTTTAAATAATATAACGTTATGGCTTAACTGAGATGGAAGGCTAGCTCCGGCAATACTCATATGCGCTCTTTGATGACTCTCTCTCAACAACTAATAATACAAAAATTATTTAAAAAAAAACCCTTTAAAATTATGTTTAAACTGTTAGATCTATATAAAAATTGATTAGTTTTGCTTTTTTAATTATTTTAGTGGAATTTTGACAAAGCATAAGAAAAAAGCTTGAAATGCTAAGGCCTCGTTCATTTCGCTGATTCGAGTTTAGAATTCGAGTTTTACACAGTAAAAAGCTCTCAGAAACAGTTACATCTAACTTTTTTGCTACAGTAAAAAACTCTCACACAAAATCACATCTCAACTAGAATTACAAACTCAAATCATCGAAGTAAACGAGCCCTAAAGGTTCCTCAAAGCCGACATCACATCACACGGACACGGACACAACACATATTAGTCCTAAATAATCGTAGGGAAAGTGAGTTGGGTGGCCGAATTTAATTTAGCCATCTAAGAGCATCCAATCATATTAATTATTTCATGTTTTTAATCAAAATAATTAATTATTTCATGTTTTTAATCAAAATAATTAATTATTTAATATTTTTTGTTGTTTTTTTCCACTCTAATTATGAATTAGATGGTTACTTATTTTAAAAAATACATTTCACATTAATTAACTAACTAGCAAGAAGAGTTTAAGCCATTTCATTTTTCTAATATTTTATTTTTTAAAATAATAATAAATACATGTGTGTTTTTTATTTAATATAATTATTTATATTTTAAATTAAATAAATATTATAATATTATAATTAATTAAAATAGAAAATATGATTAAAACGACCGATTAAAAATTGATAGTATTCTAAGTTTAAAAACTGTTTTTGATAAATATTCTAAGTTTAAAAACTGTTTTTGATAGTATTTTTTATCAAAAATGTTTTGACTTTCGAGAATAACTTTAAGTTATAGCTAAAAATTATGGCTTCAAATAAAACACTTATAAATAAATTTTAAAATTTATATCAGAGTTTAATTAAGATATTATAAATTTAATTCTAATATTTTTATTACTTATTAAAAAATTTTAAAATTATTTTAACATATTAAATTTTTTATTTTAAACACTTATTAAAAAGTCAACATTTTTTATTTTCTTTTCCTACTATAAAAAGCGACAGTAAAAATAAAAACTCTGCGGAACGGATCCTAATGCTATGTTTGGTATGAAGGAAAGAAAATAGGATAGAAAAGAAATATGGAAGTGATGAAAAATAGCAATGATAGAAAGGAAATTGATTTTCTTTTATGTTGTTTGGTATGAGAAGATGGAAAGAAAATGAGTTTACCTTCACTTGTTTGGTATTAGAAGTTAAATTGGGAGGAAAGAAAAAATCTTACTCGTAAATTACTTTTATACCCTTAAATTTTTTGTTTAGATGTTGATGGAGAAAATAATAGTTTAATAACTTTGCTTACTTTAATGAGTAGTTTTCATTTTTCATCCCATTTTCTGCCGACTTGTGGAAAGAAAAAAAATAGTGGGGCCCACATGTATTATTTTTCACTCTATTTTCTCTTCATTTCTCTTTTCTCTCCTACCAAACAACTTAGATTTTCATTTTTCCTCCCAAAATCCCTCCACCTTCTTCATTTCTTCTACTTTTTTTTCTTACCAAACATACTCTAAATGCCTGTTTAGTAAGGGGATTCGTTCCCTGATTCGAATCATGATTCGTGGTTTGCTACAGTATTTTATCTTATAAAAAATACACGTAAATTAAAAATAATTCTAATAATATAGTTTTAATCTATGAACTAAACGGACTCTAAGTTGTCGAGGCGGAGCGGGAGGTTGAAGAATATGATAAATATTTGGCATCGTATATTTATAGCAAATTTGTTGCAACTGAGAAATTGTTAAAAATTTGTTGCAGTTCAAACCATGGCATTTGTACCCAAAAAAAAAAATCTGAGAAAAAGGGTTGGAGGCGGCGATTGAGGTAAAGGGAAACGCGCGGTACGCGCGTCGACACGAACATTTATCTTTGCTGATGTTTTTCTTTTTTCTTTTTTGTTTTTCTCTGTGGCAGTACAAATTGAAAAAAGATGACACTTTTATTGTTTGGTCAAAGCAAAAAAGAAAGGGACTTTATGGTGACAGTATCCTATACATTCAGTTACAACGAACATAGCGTGCAACCCAGACGTGGCAAAGGCTAGTATAACAGATTCTATGCAGCTCTTTAAAAGATGCCATGGTTCACACGTTGCTTGTTTGAGTTTCATAGAAGGAATGGGCAACTCAATAAATATACAGAAAAATTACTCCTTTTATTTTATTTTTTTTGGAAATGGCAGAAAAATTATTGGAGATCCGAAGTTTCAAGGAGTGACTGACTGAGCGTCATATGGAGTGGACAGTGGGCAGTGTACGGGGGTTAATGGGAGTTGGGCCCCACCCACCAGTGGTCCGGAGGCCCAATAATCAGCTGATGAAGTCGGGTCCAGTGAGAGTTGCCGAGCAACGCTACGGCACTATTAGTATTAGCAACGCACACCAACGCTCTGTTTGATACGAGGAATTGAAAGTAGAAAAGATTGAGAGAGTTAAAGATGAGAAACATGAAGAATGAATAGACTTATATCGATGCTTTGTGTTGTGAGAGAAAATTGAGTTGAAATGATGAATAATAGTTCTTTATTTAATTATTTAATTATTTATGTTTTTAGTTGCTTATAAATCTTTATGTAAGATAAAATAGAGCTTGTTCGGTTGTATTTTTTAGTTATGGTATTTTGAGTATAGATCTTGAGTTGAATTTGAATTATAATTTGAGTTAAAGTTGTAAATTGAGTTTGTGTTTGGATGTGCACATTTGAGTTATGATTTGAATTGAGAATTTATTTGAATTTGTGTTTGGATTG